CCCCAAAACCCCAAAACCCCAAAACCCCAAAACCCCAAAACCCCTAGGCTATTAAGTATAGTTGAATTAGGTGATTATGGATACTCGGAGAAGGCTCATGAGTTATCCTTCATCATTCTTTAGCCTGAAGAAACTTGATTTGCTTTTATTCTTAGCAGCATCATAACTGCCATCATTCATTTCTACAGGCTTCTCTCTTTCTTGGCTGTGGAAATCTTCACTACTTTCTTGGCTATTAGACTGGTTGCAGTCGGCCCCATTCTTCACTTTTGCAAATGCTGATGTACGGAAAGGTTTAATGTACGGAGCACCAGAGTCATCGAAGGATATATCTAAAGAGCTGCACGATCCGGACTCATTAAACGATATGAAACTTGACTTTGAAGTTCCACTAGAATTCGACAAATTGTCATCTGCTTGTATTTGGTTAAAGTATTTGAAGTTTTGAATAGGAGTTGGCTCCTTTTCTTCTACTAGAATAGGATTTTGATCATTTTTAATTGTAGTATCATCTTTTCATGTTTTCTCACCAAGTTTGTCAAAAAGAAAATTCTCCTTGATATAGGTAGAGCTCTCAGGGATCCTGCTGATCGAGTGACTTCTTTGTAATCTATTGCTCTTCATATGAGAAGGAATGCTACTCAGTTGGCCTTCATAGTTACTGAAGTTATTCTCTAAGCTAATATCGTCATTGCCATTAGACTGGGCTGGCATCTGGTAAAGATCCATCATATTTTGTTGACCATAATATGGATTTTGGTTCATTAAAGAGAATTGAGCAAAACTTTGGATTAATTGTGAATCATCCACACCCCCCATTGGTTGATTTCAAGCAAGATTCATTTGTGGTTCGTTGGCATATCAAGAGTTGGACCTCATATGACTTCCAAATTGTGGCATCTGGAGTAAATTATCAGTATAACTTGGTGTGAAATTATTTGTGTTCATCTGAAATCCATCCATGTTCATTGCATTATTAGAAGTACCAGAAGCAACAGAAGAGATAAAATCTTGTATTTGCTCTGGCATAACCTTCATTGATACTAATTTCCGGATGATGTACTTGTCACCAGTTCGGAGATTACCTTTGCCTTTAGCATCTTTGGATTCTTCGTTAGGATCGACTGGCATGGCATCAAGCTGGCCATTCTCCTGTATGGGCATTTTCTTTTCCTTCCTCTTCTTATTAAAATACTCAGAGTACATCTCATAGATGTACTGGGAAAGATAAATGGTAAGCTCTTTTTCTACATCATTTTCTTTCAAATCATTTGTGATTTTATTTCAATGATATTTTCCTGATAATTTTACGGACGGTTGAGTAGAAATAATTCTTAACCGAGTTATCATTTCTACCGTCTCAGTACTTGGCAATTTCAGCCCATTTGTTTCCAAAGATCTTATGCTTTGCGATAAAAATTAATTCCTCTTCAGGAGTCCATGGATTTTTATTTACTCGAGGATCGAGATGGTTCCTCCAGCGCTCCCTACATTGCTTTGGGTTTTGAGTGAAGCCAGGGAACTGCTTCTTCATTTTATCCACAATTGAGGCCCATTTTTTTGTGCCTACTTGGTGCACAAGTTGGACTAGATATTCATCTCTTTCTGGGTTCCATTGGCCTGCACTTTTTGACATCTTAATTATTTTATAAAAGTTAGCTTAAAACAATAAGCAACTTAATTTGGGGTTTTGGGGTTTTGGGGTTTTGGGGTTTTGGGGTTTTGGGG